ATATATAGGGAAAATGTTATACTCATAAATGGCTAATGGATCAACTCTCATATATACTCATGAGAGCTGATTTATAACTAATAAATCCTCCCTAGAAAGTCAATTAATGCAATAAGCGTTCTATAAGCAAAAATACTCACTTCAGGAAACTTCTCAAAATTCTGAGTGTCTAGTTCTCCAGTAACAATGGGCTTGTAGGCAGCTTCCATTTCGTAAAGTACATCCCACTTAGTTCCTTTGAACCAAGGGTGATCCTGAAAACGTGCTCGCAAGTTAAGAAGACGATAACCACAAGCATGGGGGCAGCATGAGCACTGAGCATGCTAATGTGTATTAGATCTTTGAAAAGACTATCTAATCTTGAGGAGGGAAATGTATTCCATTAGTGAAAAAGCAAATATAATTCAAAGAGAGCAAGAAGCATATTTCGTTTTTATTTGTTTGAAGGGCTATTTGAAGAGAGTGTTTGCACAGTCAATTGGACCTAATGCATTTTTTTTTAGACTTTAGTGGCATTTACCTTTATTTCTTCCACTCCTCTGGTCCCCAATCTTGATTCAACATCACACAACAAATGACAGATCAGATCCTTAGCCTCATCTGGTACTTTTGGTTCATCCGGGAATTTCAAGCATGCTCTCCAATTGATAATCTGATACATAAACAGAAATATGACACATCATACAAAGATGATGGATACTTGTAAAAGCTAATAGGATGTCTGACACAGGTTTGAACTCATTCCTCTTGTCCAAAAAGATGTTCAAAGATGTCCGACACACACCCGGCAATATTTTAGGAGAGTCCGAGCAACATAGGTTCAAAGATTTCTTTATTTAAAAAATGTCCGAAGAACTGAGAAATCAATCATTTCTGAACCATGACCTTTTTCGAAATTTTTGTTTACAAAAGTTTGTCTTGACGAAAGTTGTAGATCATTCTAGAGCCCCTGTGTGTGAAAGAAATTATCTTATTTTCACCATAAATACAAAAGAATATTGAAGTACCTTGCGACATGTCATTCTTGGATCTTCTGAACAGAAGGGAGGATAACCTACAAGCATCTCATACAAGATTGCCCCCAGTGACCACCAATCACATTCCATTCCATATCCTTTTTTCAACAAAACCTCGGGTGCCATATAATCGAGAGTCCCCACAGTAGAATATGCCTACAAAAGAGTTTCATTTATAGTTGATTATATTCAGTGATTACCATGGCTAAACCAATCGACGAAGAACCCAAATAGAAGCATTTGAAATACAGGTAACTCATATGCAGACACAATATTGGAAAAATGTAGTACTAAAATGAGGATACCAAGGCACGGCGGTTGCGTTTCCATTGTTGTAATTGGTCTTTTTGCATTAACCACGGAGCACTATCACTAACAGCAGTCACACTTATGGACTCCTGGTTTGTCAGATCTTCATCTTCCAACAGTGATGAGTATTTGTTTTCCAGTGGTTTACATAAACCGAAATCAGAAAGCTTTAGATGTCCATTTTTGTCCAGTATAAGGTTATCAGGCTTAATATCCCTGAAAGCAAAATAAATCCTGAATCAGCTGCACACTGGTATCATAGAGTAAGACTGCAAATGTTTGCATATATACAAGAACAGATAATGACATAAAATGTAGCATCAATATCCACATCAAAATGTTCAATTGAACCTCGCATAATGAACTTATGCTCAACGATCTCTGAGCCTGATGTGTGTGTGTGTGTGTGTGTGTGTGAGAGAGAGAGAGAGAGAGAATGTGTGTGGTGGGGGTGGGGGGGGGGGGGGTACGAAAGGGGCTCGGAGAGGAACTTGGTAGGTAAACGAGATAAGTTGTTTACTAAGTGGATAGTAAGAGTA